TACACGCTAAGCATGCACTTTTGAGAGATAGGATTTGTGCGTCATTCCATTTGTCCATTTTGCAATAAGTGAAAGAGACACGAGTGAGGTAAAACAGTTTGGGGATGAGGTGACTGAGGCTGGAGGTGTGAAGTTACCTTTGAGGGTCACACTTGGCTTGTCAGGGGCTCTGGGCTTCAGCACAGCTCTGCCGCGCCCCGCTCTGCACTCTGTGGATGAGAGGAAAGATCTGATTTTGGAACACCTCTCATTTTGAAGAGAAAGACACGAATGTAGAGACTTGGGACAGGGTAGAGAGGCTGGCTATGGTGCTGAGAGTCTCAGACCCTCTGCAGCTCCTTTGGAATACAGACATGGAAGCTCATCCCGCTCCCCGTACCCCAACATCCCTGCCTTGCTGGAGCCAGAGGCAGCTCCCCAGGTGGGCTCCAGGCTGGGGTTCATGGGCAGTTGACAGTGGGGGACTGGGACGCTTACTGGCTGGGTCCCGCAGTTCCCAGTTTCCACCTCATGTGGCCGGCAGGGATTGTGTAAGAAATGAGTGTTTGAGATGCTATGCCTCTGAACCCGGCACACCATCGGCTCAGCCAGAGAACTCTGCTGCCAGGATGGACATTCTGAAGGGAACGTCGGGTTGGACTCAGCACCACCGGACCACATTCTGGTAGGACTGCTCCAGCCAACCAGGAAATAGTCAGCTCTCCTAGAACCCTTGCCTCCCCATGTGAATTCATTCGAGTGTGGCCGATGGGCTAGAACTTGAGTGCAGGTTGCATTTTCGAGTGTATGCTGTCATCCACGAGGACCAATCAGGAACCACAGACAGTGTGGCATCGAGCCAGGCAGGAACCCAGGGGCATACACCTCACACACCTCCTCCCCTGTGGGGTTACAGATTCCTCACCCCTTCTCCCGAAACCTTCCTGTCTGTCTCAGCTCCACCATATCTAGATTTCCACCACAAGATTTAGCACAGTGTGGTTGTTTTTGTGCCCAGTTATAGCAAAACTCTTCTGGGCAGAACCCAGAGCCCACCACACACTCCAGCATGTGTTTCCCCAGGACTCGGGAGCAGAGATGACGGGAAAGCCCACTGTGTCTGAGCGGCTCCATGTGAAGACCCAGTTTCCCTGGGATGCAGGCAGCCCCATGAAAGAAGGCACAGATACAGGGATTTATGTTCCTCTTCTTGGCAGAGGATGTTTACAGTGAGGACAGTTTGGGCCATGGAGAAGGAGGGGCAGGAGGGACGGTGACTGTGGACATCAGCCCATTTCTCTCTTTGGAGGCTGGAGTGATCTCAGGGGCGGAGCAGGAGCAGAGGAGCCTCCCCGCATCCCCACTGCCCCTGGCATCTTCATCTCCCCAAGCCCAGGTCCCTGAGCTACTTTCCTCCTGCGTCTTGTCTCCAACCAGCTCTGGCCCAATCTTCAAATCCTTTGCAATGTTCCTGCAGGAGAGTCTGTCCATGTGTCCACTGGGATTTCCAGGGAGGAGCTAGAGCTCTCTCGACAGGGGACTCCTGGTGCCAAGTGGGCCTGGAGAGGCAAGACAAGAGGGAGAGAAGGAGGAAAGGGGAAGGGGACCAAGCCCTGGGCTTGGGAGGGAAGTGTGGAGAAAACTGCCAATCAAGCCATCACTGTGGTCAGTGTCCTGGAAGTTCATCTGTATCACTGCATGAAATTTCGGAGGTGCCTTTCAACTATGGCCTTCTGCCCTGACAGGTGCAGGCATTTAAGCCTGTGGGGTTTTGTTTTGTTTCTTGTTCATTGTGATACTGAGGATTGAGCCCAGAGCCTCTCACAGGAGAGGCCAAGGCTTATACTGAGTTACACCCTGGGCCCCAGCCTGTGGGATTGAAGTGGCTGCATTGCCTGAGGTCTAGACCCCCAGGGTCCGGTCCTCACCTTCTCCAAGGGCTTCACCCATGCGCTACCACTCTGGAAGAAGAAGGCACGGAGGCTGTCAGAGCACGACTGCCACGTTGGTCAGTGTTTGCACACTTCTCACTTCTCGCAGACCTGCTGGAGACCGACATGGGCAGTGCAGGAAGCTTGCAGCACACGGTGGCCTGAGGTGGTCCTGTGGCTCCAGTGAATGCTGACAGCTGCTTAGCAATACTGCCTGCATCTACATTGCTCGTGACCATGCAAAAAGCCACCAGGTATCGGACCTCAGTCCTTCTGAAACAATCGCCCTTTCCGAAGCCTGGCTTAGTGTTTTAGAGCAAGTGCACCTTCGGGTGCTACAAAGCCAAATCTGCACTCCCTCCCAGCCTGCCCGCACCCTGATCTCACATTATATAAATCAGCATCTTTTTTTTTTTTTTTTTTTTTTTTTTTTTTT